GTGGGCATTGCACCCTCTGGTGAGGGTGGAGTGGGCATTGCACCCTCTGTCAAAGATGGAGTGGCCGTTCCCCACCCGCTGCTCACCCGGCCATGACGACCCCATCGCAGGAGTGGACGTCGCACAGGACCCTGCCGGGCTCGTAGCGCAGCTGGCTCACGGCACCCACGCGGTTCTGCCAGAGAGGACACAGGGGTTGGTGATGCCATTCCTACATCCACCATAATTTACTGCTGGGAAACTCCCAGCCTTGCTACTGCTGCTGAGAGAAACCACATCGATCCCAAAAACCCTCCAGGAGGTTTAGCTGGCCAAAAGGAGCTGTAAGACACACCACCAGCTCTCCTCTCCCACTTGCTTGAACCAGCCTCCCACTCTTCCACAGCACCTGGATCCCTTTAAGGAAATTCTCTCTCACCTTCCAGTTGTTTTTCAGCATGTGCTCTCTGGCTCTGCAGTTTTTGAGGGCGAGCTTCCAGCAGGAATGATCAGAGATGCTCATATCCAACAGGTATCCTTCCTCTTGGCAAAGCCGGTACCACAACACTTCATCTTCTGCAAGGATTTTCCATGTCCTGCTGACCTAGAAAGCAATGTTTGTATATGGATCTCTCATAAATTTCTAAGGAAAAATTTGATTTAATATGAAGTATTAAATACCATCTGAAATATAAACATAAAAATCAATACAGGCCTGCACTGAGATGTAAATCTTATCTAAACAAATATATTTGTTCATTCTTTATATACCTGAGTGTATAAACACCCCAAACCTTTAACAAAAGGCTTGTCTTCTGTGGGCTCTTTGGGAAAAAGCTGAGTTTATACCCCACTAAAACTCCACATAACATGGACACCTGTTTAGTGGCCACACCATCAACCTGAAATATCAGTGTACCTCAAAATTTTGAAGAGAAAAACAGCAAGAAAACAATTAAGACAGAATTGCAAGCTTAGAGCAAAAATATGAATTTATTTTCATATTTGTAGCTAAGAAGCCCTCTCAGATCACAGCACCACATCTCTGAAGTCCCACTGTCAGTGCCTGATTAGGGGTATGACATTAGTGATTTATAACCTATTGTATTACAGTATGCATAAATAGGAATGAATTATTAAGTTTTTCAAGCAGCCTCAAGTTGCTACCCATTCCAGAGAGAACAGCTTCATCACAATCAATTGTGGGCTTAGAATTAAAGATTCAAGAGGTAAGAGCCAACTTAAGTAGCTTTTTTTTTTAACTCTGTAATTCTTAATTTAAAAAAGCAGACGTAACCAATGAAAGCCGCTACTGGTGAAAGCAGCAATCAATTGTGCTCTGTTTCTAAAAAGATTAAAAGAACCTTCTGAGACTGACATCATTTTTAGTAAGTCACAATTAAGCATCTAATGTTCATTTGAGTCCCAAGATTACGCCCAGAATCCGAGCCTCCCATGGACACAAACTCTCCCAGGACCATCTCTTCATATTTATTTGTTCCATAGTCTCACACACAAAAAATGTTTAATTGATTTGATGAAAAAAGGGGTGATCTGAGTACCTGCAAGTGTTTTTTAGGATTTGAGACCCACAGAGAAGAGCAGTGGTCATATAGGAATATCCAAGAAAAATGGCTATGCAAGAAAATACTCTTAGTTAATCACCCAGAGACCTCAATGGGAACTGGCAGGGTGAGACAATCCCCTTCCATCCTCTGACAAAGGAAACAGCCTGGACAGGGCAATAATAAGCCCCTGAAATCCAAAAGCAGTGCTGAGTGCGCCTATCCCTTGAGGGACACACTCAGCAACTTCAAAAACACCAAAAAAAACCCAATCCCAAATTCAAACCATTAGGAATTTGCTCTCAATTTGATTTTAAAGTAGGATAAATATATATCTTAGTGCTCCAAGATTAAAAAAAAAATCCCAAACCCAGCTTTCTGCTGACACACCAAAAGAACAGCTGTGGTGCAGGAGTGGAGCTCCCCAGGCAGAACCTCTGCCCCCTCCCCAAACAGCAGCACATTTTCCTGACAGGACCAGGCTGAGCACACGCACAGGGAAGCACAGCCAAACCAGGCCAGCTTTTGCCTTGCTTTCCAAAATAAAAATCGAAAATAAACACACACCTTTTGAGTCTGCCAAAACAGACAATATTGCACAGATCTTTCAAGTTTCAAGGTCTTAAAAGCATTTTACAAAGACAGTAAAACAAAAGAAAAGGCAGGGGAGCTACATAAAATTTCAACTGCCTTTTCAACTTTCAGGGGGAATAAAGATCCTATCCTATTCTGATTTTTTTTCAATCAAATTACAGCGAACCCTGCTGCTTTACAAGCCTGAATTTCCAAAGGGTCCCTAACCCAGCCTTTTCTTACAGCCCCAAACTCGCATGCCAATCCCTTGTAAAACCCCACTGAGCGAGGCTCAGCTGCACGAAATCACTAATAAAGAGTCTCAAGCATTTCACTTTACAGCACCACTGTGAGCTGCAGCATTAAAACCAGCCCTTGGCTTCAAGTCAGCTTTATTAGATCTGCTTGACTTGGAGTTTCAGGTGAGGCCCCAAAAGCCAGGGCGTTATGGCTTTATTTACATGCACCCAAATGCTGGGTGTTGGAGARGAGCTGAGATGTGCAAAGCTCTTGTTAAAACCCTTTCCAAATYTCAGCTACACAGAAACTCCAGCACGGATCGATGGCAACATCTTACAGACTTGTTTATAGATTTGGAACTCTRAATTTAATTTTGTCTTCAGTGTTCCTATTATCTTTTTACAACTGTTTTCAGCAAAGAAAGTTTGGGTTCCCCTGAGCTCCACACAGGGACAGTTTTATGTTTTATAATTCAGCAAGTAATAATGTTCTGAAGGACTTCAAAGGCTTTTGCTGACATAGGCTTTGCTATTTGGTTTTGCCCCTGGGGGATTTTTTTCCCCCCTAAAAAAAACCCACCTCTTCCATCAAATCCAAAATTTCTCCTAATCCCATCTAAATCAACTGGCTCAAATCCTAATGAAGGTTTATTCATCCCTCTGCATCTGATAATGGTTTTTATTTCACTASGTTTATTTTCTTCCCCAGACACACAAAGGCAGAGTCAAGGCTCATTTGCTGGGACCAGGGGCCTCAATTAGAACTAGCTGGACTTTGAGCTCAGTACAACAACCAGTGCCAAGGAGCGTTTAATCCAAAGCCATTCTGATGGAAGCTGCTCACCTTTCCTATTCACGGCCCTAAGCACAAAATGGTTTGGACTGCAAGAGACCTTAAAGCTCACCCCATTCCACCCCTTGCCATGGCAAGGACACCTTCCACTGTCCCAGGCTGCTCCAAGCCCTGTCCAACCTGGCTTTGGACACTGCCAGGGATCCAGGGGCAGCCACAGCTTCTCTGGGAATTCCACCCCAGTCCCTCCATACCCTCCCAGGGAACAATTCCTTCCCAATATCCCATCCATCCCTGCCCTCTGGCACTGGGAAGCCATTCCCTGTGTCCTGTCCCTCCATCCCTTGTCCCCAGTCCCTCTCCAGCTCTCCTAGGGTCCCTTTAGGCCCCAAAAGGGGCTCTGAGCTCTCCCTGGAKCCTTCTCCTCTCCAGGTGAGCACCCCCAGCTCTCCCAGCCTGGCTCCAGAGCAGAGGGGCTCCAGCCCTGGAGCAGCTCCGTGGCCTCCTCTGGACTCCTCCAGCAGCTCCAGGTCTTTCCTGAGCTGAGCTCCAGGGCTGGGGCAGCTCTGCAGGTGGGTCTCACCTGAGCAGGGCAGAGGGGCAGAATCTCCCCTTTCCTGCTGCCATGCTGGGGGCTCAGCCCAGGGCAGGGATATCCTTACCCATTCATTTCTCTGCTTTCTCTCTAAACCATGAGGATGGATAACCGCTTTTACACATAAGCAACCTTGATGCAAAACCAGGCTCAAAAAAAAACCATTCTGTTTTCTTTTTGTAAATGTATAAACATTAAAGCCTCAACAGTYTGACAATTCCAGGAGCCCTGGAGGCAAGCAGCTGAAATTCTTGATTTATGCACAACAATTCATTCCGAAATTCCTAGAAACACTCTCCCTTGCCCTAGATACATACACARTTCCTGTGTTGGTAAACACTTCTAAAGATTCTCCAAGATGAAAACCAAACAGGTCAAGGGAATTTCCCACTGATCTGCTCAGAAACAAAGCTGCCACCACCCGTAGCTGCTGAATTCAGAGACATCCCCTTATCCCAAAGCTGACAGTGTAAAGGCCAGGTCCCCAGGCCATGGGGAAAATTAATGAATTTACATTATCAGCCTCAAATAACACAAGGACTTTTCAAGTTGTCACACTTGTGGCGTCCCATGGGATTGTTTTTCCTTTCCCTCTGCATTACGACCAAACCTGCTCATACTCACAGGAGAGTCACTCACGGCACGGATATTTCTGTCAGTGGTCARAACACAATTAAAAGGTGCTCACAGGGGGAAATTCTGCATTACTCTGGCCTGTTCTGCTGAGCCATTAAGGCCTGGATATTTTTCTCCTTGAATTTCAAACATGGGATATCAACAGGGAGCGGTCTGGGGGATGCCACTGAATGTCACCCTCCTGCTGCAATCCCAGCAGAGCTCAAGCACCGAGGACACTGTTATTGACAGGCTTTTGTATTTCCAGTGCCACACGGCCAGGTTGTGTTTTATAGTACTAATTCCAAAAATCAAAGAAAAGCTGTGGGGGAGCGAGGGAGAGGGAAATATCAAGGTGAAATGAAAGTTCTCCAGACAGTCTGTGGTGTGATTAAATCTCAGAGAGGCTCTGCAGTCAGGCTACTTTCCTGTTAGCTGGTTACCAATTTGGCATAAATTACTAAGCAAACAGGTTTTCTCCAAAGGCACTCACATGGATCATGATGCCAATTCCACCAACTGGCCCAATTTCACTGAAATCCCAAGGCACCTTAATAAAAAAACCCCTTTCTAGGATAACACTGTAAAGCAGCAGGGTTTTCCATGGAACAGAAGAGGGCTTTCCCCCCCTTCAAAAACAAAAGCACCAAGAGAAAAATGAAAATGCCATTTATTTTTATGGCTCTGCTTTTTATTTGAACACTTAAAAAGAAGCCAGCTCTGCAGTGGATATTCATCTGATTGGGAAAGCCCTGTAAAACGCCAGGCACTTGCTCAGCTACCTGTCAGCTGCCACAAAGGGACAATGACTGGGGCTGAGGAGGAGAATGAGAAGTGTGGAAAATRGTCTCAGTGTTAAAACTTATGAGAACAGGTTCAAGCTAAAATGGAAAGAGAGAGAAATCCAGTGAAGCCCAAGAACAGGGAAAAAGAGCAGCCCTTCACCAGCCAATCTTTTTACAATGCCATGGGGTAAAGTGATAGTGCCTAGAGGAGGGGGAACACCAGAAAGAATAAGCTTAAACTAATCCACTTGAAAAATGCAATCCTGTGCCATGWCATGGGCTGTGGCCTTTACTGATGGCGTATCTCTAGCTCAAGGGACAGAAACTCGAGCATATCTGAAAGCTTCAGTGTCCTGGACAGCATCAGAAAATAATCCTAGGGAGTTCTCCCCTCTGCAACAGCAGCCTTGCATGAGGAATTAATTTTCTTTTAACAGTCCCTGCTCCTAAAAGGCATTAGCAAGTCAAAGATTTAGGCAATAACCACTTGTAGCTATTTAACACTACAATATGCTCATACTGAACATTAAAAGCCCAATTTCCCTTCAAAGCCCGGTCATTTGCAGAATATTTGTGCTCAGTTTACCATCCTCGACAGACTCTGTCTGTCACTTCTCAGTTTTCACACGCTAACATTTTTCTCTTCCACTCAAACCAYGCTCTGGACTGTTTGTAACACAAAGAATGGTTGGATTTTTGTGAAGTTGCAAGATGTGCTTTGTGCAGAAGAGTGAAGGAACACCAGCCTGGAACCCTAAATAGTGGCCATGGGAGAAGCTGGAATTAAATCTACAATATTCTGCTTGATTTCACAGGGTAATCAGCACTTGCCAATTAAGTTTGCTTTGAAGACTCATTCAGAGAGGAGGTTCATCATTCAGTGTGTGAAGAAAGGAAGTAAAGAGGCCCAAGTGTGGGCTAAAGAATTCTAAACAGAGTGAGGTGTGAGTGTTTCAATTACAACTACACATAAATCATGGACCATGTATGAGTACAGACTGCTGAGAGCWTTATCTGAAAGTATGAGAAAAGAAAAATATAAACCCCTTGCAGAGCTGGGCAAGGGAGGAAATCAGAGTTACTTAAGAATTTAGCCTCACGTGAAAATACTACAGGCAAAACCGTACTAGTCCAACGTCTGTGGGTCAAATCCCACACTGAAAAAAGTGGGAGGAGCAGCTCTTGCCATGCCCTTAGCACTGCCAAGTGCTGAGYTCTAAATACTGCAGTAAGACACACACTTGAATCAAAATATCTTTGCCCTATTTACTTTAAATTTTAAGGCTTTGCTCCTGCCCAAGCCACAGATGTTTTATTTAACTCTGCTMAAGTGCAGCTGTAAATCCAGCTCATGTACCATTACTTTTTCAATATTGAGCTTTGGAACTGTTTCCTGTAAGTGAAAGCACAACCAGCTGGGTTTCTCGGGCTACCGGCCCCCTTCCCTACATCGAGGTGCCTGTTTTTTCACTGCTTCTGCCAATTTTAAGTGGTATCAGAGCAGCAAACTGCCAGCAGCACTCACCTGAGCRCACCTTCCCAGCTCAGCCTTGCCCAGGTACTGGAATATCTTCAGTGCCAGCTCATATGGCAGCTGGACATCAAAGAAAGGAACCTCATTGATTTCATTCTGAAAAGGAAAAAGGAGAAAATAATTTGTGAGGYTTCTTTAACATGGTTTGATGGCAGAAGTTACCATGGTGTGGAGAAAGGATGGAGTGTCCTCAGGGCAATCACAGCTCCATGAAAACATCAGGATTTATTCTGCCTCKCCTCCCTTTCATGGCCCCTCAAAGGGCAGAGAAAGGCAAGACACAAGTTCTGGTACAATAGTTTGGCTAAAGTGCCAAAAAGACCCAATAAAGAAGCACTTTAAAGATATATACCCATTATTAATTTCACTCACAAGATTTCAAACGTGTGTAATGGAAAAATTAATGAATATTTTAAACAAAACTGAATGGAGATGATGTTAGGTTCTTTCATTAGTAACATATAAATGTCTTTTTAATATGCAATGTTCCTCCTTCATCTCATCAAACATCTAAAAACAAAAATTTAAACCCATTTAATTTAAATCCATCAATTTAAGCTAACAGTTAAATGCAACACATATTTTTCCTAGATGTGTTTTGCTGCTTGGTTTAACCACATAATTATTACATCTTCTTTCTGCATTTATCACAACAAGATTTGTCTTCTCTCTTAGTTTGCCTGGATATTCAATTTTTTTAAATTATGTAATAGAGAAAGAGCAGAATCCGCTTATTCTGACCATTTCTATGTCACCAGTTTTGCTCTCTGGTGTTTTCTCTGGCTCCTGTCCCTGCCAAGGTGCTCCTGATCATTGCCTATCAAYCCTCATGCACAAAATCAGCTGCTCAGTTAAAACCTCTCCCCATTGTTTACCTTCAGAACCTGAGGCAGATCCCAAAGCAGGATCATCTCCTGCCTCTTGGCACTTCCCTAATCCTAGTAGCTTTGTTTCTTTGTCCGGTCTCTTCYACAACTACTCCTTGTCATTCAAATCTGGGCCCTTTGCAGTACCAAAGTAGAACAGAAAGGATATTCTGGGTTTATAGAAAGCAGAGTTACTCATGGAAATCACAATACAGTGTGGTGATGTGGAGGTTTTTAATGTCAAAGATATTCTACACTAGGTAAGTGTTTAGACAACACAAGTATGGGCAATGTTCCCATTAGGTCTTTTTAGCAACAAAACACCAGTTTATCCACACTGRAACCTCACACTTGTTCTAAAGTTACTAAAACCAAGACCTGCAGCCAACCTTGCTGCACCCCTCCCTTCTTATCCACAATTTCCCTGCACAAACAGCTCCCTTTCCCTCCCCTCTCTGCGAGAGCCACTGGCTCCACTCCCCGCTGCGGATCTGCAGGAAGATTGTTTTGCTTTYGTGTGATTTAAATCCCATCCTTTTCCAAAGGGGACACCGAAGAAAAACACACAGGGAACATCTCCATGGCCACATGCAGGCAGGCTCCAAGCTGGCCAGATGTGATCCCACTCGGCTCCAGGAGCCACGGAACCGTTCTGGAGCCGCAGGCTGCCCAAACAAATAAGAGGAGCCATTGGGCAAGGATTATTAGCTCCAGGCTCAYGAGCTCAGGCACAGCAGCACCATGGATGTGTTCCTTCCAAATTGGACTTGACTCRTGTCCAAGCAGCAGATCCTGGGCTGTCTGGATGCACACAGAGGTCTCACTGGAAGGGGTGAGGGCCTGCAGACACAGCAGGGCTGACACAACACACAACACCAACGGTGCTCRCAAGGAAAAGTGGGGAAAAGAGCAAAAAACAGCTATGCAGGCTTTTTATCAACTGATCTGCAAGAGGATTTATACCCTGCTTCAAATAAACCCAGAACTGCCTTTTTTTTTTTCTACTTGGGTGCTGCAAAGGWTCAAGGTTTAAATGAGGAGTAGTTGTAGAAGAGATCTACAAAGAAACAAAGGAATGGGGGTTAGGAAGGTGCCAAGAGGCAGGGGATGATCCCAGTCTGGGACCTGCCTGAGGTTCTGAGGGCAAACAACAGAGAYAACAACAGAGCACAAACTCACACTGATTCCATCCTGATGCAATCCTAACATTAGAGGCAGATCCAGGTCTTCCCATACCCCCAAAATCCCAGCAGCTTGTCCTCGGCACAAGGAAGCGGGGATGTTAAGTCAGCACCAGCCTGCCTAAAAGTCTACTGGAATGAGTCCAAAACTCAAATAYAGCCAGCCCCTCTGAGACAGATTCGGGCTCCTGTGTGCTAATGGAGCACTAATTCTGTAAATGGATTAATTTGTGCCTTGCAGACAGAAATTTAATCTGTTCCTTTTAATTTTTTTAAGCAAAGAGTAATTAGTCATAGTGAGGTTAGTGAGAAACAAGAAAATGGGTTTCCCCCCTAGTTTTCCTATGCTGTAAATAAAATCTCTATGGCATTTAGAGGATTTACCAAAGTAACTTTTATCTGGTTCAGAACTGTATTTAAGACTATTTCCAAATTAAGTCCTTTATTTAAAGAATTAAAGCTTGTTTCCATACTATGCTGCTGTGCCACAAGGCAGGATACCCTTAATTACTGCACCCGCATCAAACTGCCTGAGTAAACAACACAAAACTTCTTCAAGAAGAAAAAAAAAAATACTACTTCATAGAGTCATTGAATATCTCGAGTTGCAAGGGACCCTCGAAGATCATCGAGCCCAGCCTCCTGGCCCTGCACAGGACATCCCAACACCTGTGTCATTCTACAGAACAAGCAGATTTTGAAGGGTTAAAACTTTGTAACAGGATATACATTCAGAAGGTGAAGTTATAAACGAGTACAAAGGAACTTAAACTCAGCGTGCCCTTCGCTCGTCGCCTCCCAGCGATTCCCTCAGCCGAGCCCTCTCCGTGCTCCGGTAGCCGGCCCCACCGCCAGCCCGTGCCCGCCCTCCCCGCCTGGGGCCCGGCCTGTCCCAGCCCCAGGGCCGCCCCCGGCCCCGCGCAGCCCTACCAGGTCTCGGATCAGCTGCCCCAGCAGATCGTCCCCATCGCCGGCTGCGTCCCCCGCGGGCTCCCCGGCGGGGTGAGGGCGAGCCGGGCTGCGGCGGGGCGGGGTGCCGCCGGCCAGCAGCCCGCGGGCCAGCGCCAGGTACCCGGGCTCGGCCGGGGACTCCCGCGGCGGCTCTCCCGAACTCTCCGGGGACTCCTCCGGTGGCTCCTCAGAGGGCTCCTCCCGCCGCTGCCGCTTCGCGCCCCCGGCCCGCGCAGCCCTACCAGGTCTCGGATCAGCTGCCCCAGCAGATCGTCCCCATCGCCGGCTGCGTCCCCCGCGGGCTCCCCGGGGGTGAGGGCGAGCCGGGCTGCGGCGGGGCGGGGTGCCGCCGGCCAGCAGCCCGCGGGCCAGCGCCAGGTACCCGGGCTCGGCCGGGGACTCCCNGGCGGCGCGGCCGGCCCGGCGCGGCACGGAAACCGCGCCCCGCGCCCGCGCGTTCCGCCGCCACAAGGTTCCGCCGCCGCYGCCGGGGTCGCTGCCCGGTGATGGGGCGGGAGCGGGGGTTGCGGACGTCATTTTGAGGTCCCCACACAAAGACCGCGATGGGGGCTTGAGGGCCCGGCTTGGCTCTGGAGAGTCGCGAGCGGCCGAGGGAGGCCACGGCAAYGGCAGGGTCGGTCTGGGCTCTGGGCCCCGCTGGGAGCCCTCAGCCCCCTCAGTGTGGCGATGGCAGCGTCCTGCTGAGCACCCAGAGCCACGCCGGGAGCCCTCAGACATGGCCAGAGAGATGGCAGGGTCCCGCTGGGTACCCAGAGCCACGCTGGGAGCCCTCAGACATGGCCAGAGAGATGGCAGCGTCCTGCTGAGCACCTAGAGCCACGCCGGGAGCCCTCACACATGGCCAGAGAGATGGCAGGGTCTCGCTGGGCACCCAGAGCCTCGCCTGGAGCCCTCACCCATGGCCGGCCCTGCCAGGAGCCCTCAGCCCCTCACAGCCGTGTTCGGCCCCACTGAAGTCCCTCAGCCCCTCACAGCCATGTTCAGCCCCACTGAAGTCCCTCAGCCCCTCACAGCCATGTTCAGCCCCACTGAAGTCCCTCAGCCCCTCACAGCCGTGTTCGGCCCTGCTGAGGGCCCTCAGCCCCTCACAGCCGTGTTCAGCCCCACTGAAGTCCCTCAGCCCCCTCACAGCCGTGTTCAGCCCCACTGAGGGCCCTCAGCCCCTCACAGCCATGTTCCACCCCACTGAGAGCCCTCAGCCCCCTCACAGCCATGTTCCACCCCACTGAGGTCCCTCAGCCCCTCACAGCCGTGTTCAGCCCCACTGAAGTCCCTCAGCCCCTCACAGCCATGTTCGGCCCCACTGAAGTCCCTCAGCCCCTCACAGCCATGTTCCACCCCACTGAGGTCCCTCAGCCCCTCACAGCCATGTTCCACCCCACTGAGGTCCCTCAGCCCCTCACAGCCGTGTTCAGCCCCACTGAAGTCCCTCAGCCCCTCACAGCCGTGTTCAGCCCCACTGAGGGCCCTCAGCCCCTCACAGCCATGTTCCACCTCACTGAAGTCCCTCAGCCCCTCACAGCCGTGTTCGGCCCTGCTGAGGGCCCTCAGCCCCTCACAGCCATGGCCAGTGCTTCAGGGAGAACCTGCTCCCCTGCATGGGTTGTTGCCCATGGAAAGACCCCCTCTGAGTGACCGAGTTACTCTGCTTGGACCATTTTTTCCTCTTTCCCAAGTCTGAAGCAGAGCATGTGCGCAGGGGTGGCCCCACGGCTGCAGTGCCCATCACACCTGCTGTGAAGGTGTTTTGCTGCCTGAATCACACCCGCCTCCTCCTGCAGCCACCACAGCCTGAGAGCTGCCACATTGATGGCATTTTGGGGAGGACATGAAGTTGGCTCGGCTCCTCTCCTGTATTAACACACCTTGGTGCTCAAAGGCTGTGGTTCAAATGATACTGAACCATGGCTGTGGAGCTTCTGCCACCTCAGCCAGTCCAGCTGCCCAGGGGAGTGGAGGGGCCACGAGTGTTCAAGTCTTCAGCACAACTTCTGTGGACCCCTCAAGGAAATAAAACGGGTAAGTGATGTGTTTGTGTAAGTCAAACACCTGGTCCTTCTAGAACAGACTGTAAAACACAGCCCTTGCCCTCAGCAGCCGTTTGTGCAGGTGTATCCTCACCCTGCTGCCCACTTGTACCTTCCTCTGTGGCCACTTGCTGTTTTTTTCTCTTCTTCAGTTTGTTGGTACCTGTGCTATGTATAAAACCCAGTTTAATGAGCCTGAACCCAAACTCCCACAAAGAGCCCAAACTACTTCATTTAGGGGAAAAACTCCCAGATGTAGAAATCCTGCAAAAGACAGGTGGGTGTGCTGGGACCCAAAAGCCCCTGTGCCCTGGGCTGATCCTCCAGCATGGCAGCAGGGGAGGGGGGGTTCTGGGGGTTCTGCCACTCTGCCCTGCTCAGGTGAGACCCCACCTGCAGAGCTGCCCCAGCCCTGGAGCTCAGCACAGGAGGGACCTGGAGCTGCTGGGGGAGTCCAGAGGAGGCCACGGAGCTGCTCCAGGGCTGGAGCCCCTCTGCTCTGGAGCCAGGCTGGGAGAGCTGGGGGTGCTTCCCTGGAGAGGAGAAGGCTCCAGGGAGAGCGCAGAGCCCCTTTTGGGGCCTAAAGGAGCTCCAGGAGAGCTGGAGAGGGACTGGGGACAAGGGATGGAGGGACAGGACACAGGGAATGGCTTCCCAGTGCCAGAGGGCAGGGATGGATGGGATATTGGGAAGGAATTGTTCCCTGGGAGGGTGGGCAGGCCCTGGCACAGGGTGCCCAGAGAAGCTGTGGCTGCCCCTGGATCCCTGGCAGTGTCCAAGGCCAGGCTGGACAYTGGGGCTTGGAGCAGCCTGGGACAGTGGAAGGTGTCCCTGCCTATGGCAGGGGGTGGCACTGGATGGTCTTTAAGGTCCTTTCCAGCCAAAGCAGTCTGTGACTCTATGACTTGTTTTCCCTACAAAACAATGACTTTGAGGGACTCAGAGAAAGGTCTCCCCTGGGGTGCACACACGGGTGAGCCTTGCCAGTGGTGGGATTACAGAACAGGAGCTGCCCCTGCAGAAGGATGTGGGGCTGCTTCAGGGAGGGTGGGGGGCTGGGAAGACAGAGAAGAGTCTCCTTAGACCCCTTTACAATACCAGGATCATTTGCCAGGAGGGTACTAGCAGCTTCTCTGGAAAGCAGAGGGTAAAACAGGTCTGTTTGGGGTGATTCCTGCCCCAGGGAACCCCCCGGTGCCATCCCAGGGCTGGTGTGTGGTGGRGAGCCCTGCCCGKGGGTGCCAGCCCTGCCCGGRGGTGCCAGYCCTGCTCCTGTGCCCAGGCAGCTGGGGAGGCTCTGCGTGCCCYGGGTCGGTAGCGGGGGCTGTGCGCTCCTGCCTCGGCCACCCGAAATGTGATCCGAATCCGTAATGCTGTGGGTGATGAAATCGGCTCCAGCTCTGTGTAATCCCCTCACTGCCCCCCTGCATCTCCTYGCTGTCCCCTCCTCCAGCCCACAGGCATCTGCAGCCTCCCGCTGTCCCTGTATCCYGTGCAGTCCYCGCTATTYYCACACTGTCCCTCKGTCCCCATGCTGGCCYCTGTYCCATASTRTCCCTTCATCCCCACACTGGTTCCRCACTGTCCCTCCATCCTCATGCTGTCCCCTCTATCCTCATGCTGTCCTTCTATCCCCACTCTATCCCCCACTGTTCCACGTCCCCCAGACTATTACCCCTATGCCCAAACTGTCCCTCCGTCCCCACACTGTCCCCTCCACCCCCATGCTATTCCTCCATCCCCATGCTGTCCCACTGAGCTCCCACACCACCCTGGATACCAGAATATCCCATCACACAATCACTGTTCCTTCCTACACTTCCCACTCCGACCATGTTCCCGT